TACAATGTGATCTTGCTATCAAGACACGGCTGTTCAAAAAGTGATAATAGAAATTTATACTTCATTATTGTTGATACTGTATTGTAATTTTTTTTTTTGATGAAGCTCTACGATACAAAAGCACTACTGCTTGTTGCTAACCAACAAGGGACGAATTGAGAAAAACATTTAAGAGGAGAACCACCTAATTGACTAATTTTGGACGAATCGAGAGTAAACCCTAAGAAATAACATTGAACTGAATCTTTTAAAATTTTCTACTCGAAATTCTGAAAACTAATTAGTCATATTTTTGATGTAAATATACTAATTGAAGTTCCAATTATTCGAGAAATTAATTAATTAACAAATGAAAGGTCTTCTATTGCGAGGAGTGTTTAACTAACTTTCCAATAAAGATATTGTTTCGTATTATTTTCGAAACAATGGGTTTCATGTTCATCCATCATATCCATTGTAATTAAGCCATTGATCCATATGTTAACATCAATAATGGTTTACAACATCATGTCAAAATATATCAAAAAGTGAACACCAAAATTTGACATATATACTGTCAAACTTCACTAAAGCAACACCAAATTATATATTCATAAAAATATTTCTAATATTCTCAAATCACATAGTGTCATAATTATTTACAAGATATCAAATTTTTCAAATCTTGATCCTATTTAAATTTTAATTAGATAATCTACGAAAATAAAAATCAAAATGAATAGCAAAATTTCGAATATTTGCTCTATAATATAATAAGAATATTTGATTTATTATGTAAAGATAACTTTAGAAATATATTTTTTATAATTAATTTGAAAAGAAACATTATTCTATATAAATAATTCAAAGAACTATTTTGAATAATTGATAAACTCTTAATTAATTTATTTCTTGATATTTTTTTTAAATCTCTTTAAAATCTCATTAGTTTTTGTTTATACTAAGTACGTCATCATTTATTTTCAATATATATATATATTAATAAATGTGGAAAAAAAAAAAACTTTGTTTCAATTATTTAATCATCCTACACATCTTCATTATATAAGTGTCAATTTGCACATATACATCATATTTAAACTATCACGTCTTTTTCTTTTTCCATCCGTACTTCATTGATAGTTCTACTGACTCTTTTTTTTTTTTGTCGTTATTTGCCTATGGTTGTGAAAAATAATTACATGCGGAAAAAATAACATTATAAAACAGATTAATCCAACTGAATATATTATCTATATTTTAATCATTGAACTGGAATAATCAACAACGACTAATATACATCATAAAACCATATTTCTATAGTGTATAATATAACAAAAGAAAATTCAATTTGGTTTTTGATTAATCTTAATAGTATAAAAGAAAATTATTTTTATGCATCAAAAAATTTTATAATAATGATGATAAGAGAAAACTAAATAATTATTTAATTTTTAATATACATACGCCTGTTGAAAATATCATTGCTTTTGATTGACTACGATTTGAACGTCCACATGCACCAGCCATTAATTAAAATACCATATATAATAATTGAGAAAAGAAAATATCAAAAGTAAAAAAAGAAGATATTTGTTACTATAAATGAATAAAGAAGAAAAAAATAATAAAAATAAGCTATATAAATCAATGAAGCAAGAATTTAATCATCTCTTTTTTTTTTTTTTTTACTTATTAACTTACATTGTTGGTTGTTTCGTTTCTTGTTAGTTAACTATGTTTATTAAATTATCAAGTTTTTTGATTTTTTTTCATCATTAAACTTTTTTTTATTATCAACACATTAAGTATAATAAAAAAGAGAAAAAAAAAGAAGATTAATTGCTTTCTTTTTCAAACCTTTAAATTGAAAATATGAAAGAGAAAATGATGACATCGGTTGACGAACAACAAGCTGAATGTGTATGTGTGTATGCATTCATCATAGAGAGATCATGCGTCGAAGGATGATTCTTCTTCATCTAACAGTATTGCTGCTATGACGTTGTTATTGTCGTCGTCTTTTTTTCATTATATCAATGTATGTTTGCGTGTATGTTCCCTTATTTTTTTTCTCTTCATTGCTCTTTTACTAAATCGTGTCCGTCATGAGACAATTTCATATAGAAGCAATAGGGCAACATCAACACTCTCTTTCGTATCGTTTAGTTGTTATTTTTTGTTCTCATTCTAAATAAATTTGCTTTTCGCAAATGTTATTAATATTCTCAGATTTTTATTGAAATAGACCCGGTATGACAAAACAAAAAAAGAAGAAGAGAGTTCTAAACGTAGAGAAAGACGAATATGAAGACAGATTCATGAATGATGATGATGTTAATAATAATGATGGCAATTCTCAATCATCATTCATATTTCTCGTATTTTTCGAAAAAAAAAAAAAGAAAAGAATAGAACCAAACATACTCAATAATAAGGAGGTGTAGAAGTGTCTATAGAGTATCAATGTGAATGAAAAAGAAAAAGAGATTTAGTAATAGCATCATGAAAACACCCCAACTAGCCTTCATTTTCTTTCTTCTTTCTTTCAACAAGAGTAAAATCCTATTTCATCTGATTAGTCTATTCTTTCTTTCTTTCTTCCTATTTCAAGTTTCTTTCTTTAGAAAGTAATGACAATCTTTAATCCATCTTAAATATTACTAGTTAATGAAATTACCTAGAATATTTCCTTTTAGCATTTTGTCAAAATAATTCAAAGACAAAATAAGACACAAAAATACAAAACAAAAACAAACAAGTTTCATGCTTTTTTTTTGTTAAATATTAAATTAAATCAGTTCAACAAATTGATATTCTTTCCAAGCAATATATAACGGAAATGCTAAACATGGTGAAATAATAAATATAACAGCAAAAATAAAACAACCAATTAATCTTTTAATTTTCGATGATCGATTTAGATAAATACTATCAATAAGTAAATATTCATTTGTAATAAGATATAAAATAAGACCAATAAATAATGATATATAATCAATAGACCAAATAATTGTAATTGGATTGATAATATTAGATATTTCATTTACATAACTTTTTTTAATTAGTTCATTTGACCAATGCATAATAAGTGAAACAAATGTAATAAAAAAAAGTGGAGCTGATAATATAAATAGAATTATTTGACAATAAACAATAAGTCGATGACTATTAATGATCCAACAACGTTGAATAGATTCCGAAAATAAACGAACTGGTAACGATATAAGAGCGAAACCAAGTGGAGATATAAGAAGAATAATTGACATTATTGAAATAATCAATTTATTTGATGAGAGAAAATATATTAAATATGTTGGAGTTATAATTATTAAAACTATATAAATAAGTCCAGTATATAAAATATGAATTGGTACAGGTGATTTATTTAACTTATTTTCTGATTTATAAAAATAAATATATGATGGAATAAATAATATTGGAAAACAAACTCCAATACCAGCTATAATAAATATTGTTTGAATTATCATTTGTCCAAGAAGGCCAGAAACATTTGTTCGAGTTGATTCAACAATAATATGAAAAAAAACAGTTGCATAAGTAAATAAAAGTGATATCATTATATAACGATCCCATTGTGTCAAAAGATTATTATTAATAATTAAACGTATATAACAAAGTACAATTGGTTGTGTATCATTTTGACATTCATTAATTAGATCAGAAGATAAATTCCATTTAATAGATGTTACAATAACTCCAGCAAGACATAATAATCCTAATAGAATGGAAAGAATAATAATTGTAAATTGAAAAATACGTTGTGATCGATTTGAAGAATTTGTTGATATGTCGAAATCGGGAACATGCATTTTTTTTTTTTTGATTCGATATTAGTAAGATAAATTTTTGCTGCGTAGATGTTTTTACAATTTTTGTTTTGTCTTGCTAAACTTTCTTATAGATAAGAAATACGAATGATACGTTTATTTTGTCTTATTTTGTATTAATATTCAAAAAACATGACATCATCAAAAGTAACATGACAAAGTTTATCTTATTGAAAAACAAAAAAGTAGTTTTATCTTTGATAAAGAATCTTAATATTAAAAAGATAATTTAATTATTCTTTTGATTTTAATTAGATTAACATATTCAATAATAAATAATTAATATTATTTAATTATTTTTTTTGAATTAAAACTATATCAATATATTTTACTTTTGTAAGATATTTGTTTATTCAATATGATTAATAGTTTTGTCACATGTTGCATTTAATAATTTAATTGAATACTTTTCTATTAGATCAACAAATTTTTTTTTTATGTCTAAAAATATAATTAGGTTTTCTATGTTTAACACATATAACGAAAAGCCATAAAATATATGTTTTCGCTCTCATACTATAACTAATCAACTGTTAGAGTGTATGAATATTCATAAGATACACATCCGTTTATAGTTTATATATATATATATATATATGTATGTATACGAGACATTCATAAAACTACGATTACATTTTCTGATCAATTCTATATTGACTTGATTGTTTTATTAATATATAATTTTTCCTATATTTATTTAATCTTGTTCTATTTACAGTTTTTTGTTTTCTATTTTATTTTCCTGCTTTCATCTATGAGCTGAATTAAATAAATATCATTGGTTTAATATATATTAAGAAAAAAAGAAAAATGTTAATGAGAAAATACATTGAATATGTTACGAACAAAGGATAAAAGCGTAAAGATCAAGAAATTGTTTATACTTTATTGCGTGCACACTTTGATATTTCATTAATGACTATTATTTAGTAGAAAGACAAAAAAAGCAAAAAAAAGGGCATCCCAATTTAACGTATTAAAGGTTTTCACAAGAAAATACATGTAACTATATGTATCACACGAAAATTTTCGCACAAATTAAACTGATAAGAAGAGTATAGAAACACAAAAAAAAAAAGAAATTATTCTACAAGCTACATTTAACAGGAAAAGAAAGTCGTTCAAATAAAAATCTATATATTTCTTTTTTGTTTGATTTGTGACTAAATTTCAGTTTTTTTCTAAGTTTGGATTCACAGTAAATAAATTGATGCGTGCATCACGTAATAATTTAGCAAAAGCAGATTCTGGATTTGCTGCTAAACGTTTTGGTTCATCATATTCTTGTAAACGACCATTAGATAAAACAAGAATTCTATATATGATGAAACAAAAGAAAAATTATGTCTATCGAAGTAAAACATCAAAAATATACTTTGTACTATCTAAAATTGTATGAAGTCGATGTGCAATAGTTATTACTGTTGCATTTTTAAAAGCTGATCGAATTGTCATTTGTATTAATCGATCAGTTTCCATATCAATAGCTGAAACAAACAAACAAAAAAAAAACGATCATATGATAATTATATACAAAGATTTAATTACCAGCTGTTGCTTCATCAAGTACAAAAATTTTACTCTTTCGTACTAAAGCTCTTGCCATACATAATAATTGTCTTTCACCAGCACTAAATATTCAAAAAGTATTTTTTTTTCTCTCTCTCTCTCTCTCCTATAGATTTTATTTAAAAATTTACCTTAAATTTTCTCCACCTTCAGTTAATAAATGTGAAAGACCATTTTCCATTGATCTAAGACGTTCTTTTAAATGTACTAATTCTAATGCTGTCCAAATTTCTGCATCACTATAATTACCAAATGGATCAACATTAAATCGTACTGTTCCAGCAAAAATAACTGCATCCTTAATATTAAAAAAAAAAGAAAATGTTTTTATTTTTATTTTAAATAAATGTATGGAAATTACTTGTGGAATAATGGTTATTTTTGATCGAAGATCATGTAAACCAATATGACGAATATCAATATTATCAACAATTATTTCACCATTTGTTGGTTCAATTATACGAAATAATGTAATACAAAAACTACTTTTTCCACTACCTGTACGTCCAATAATACCAATCTAAATATAAAAATATAATAATAAATTTATTGAAATATTTTCATTTGTTTTTTTTTTTATTTACTTTTTCTCCTGGTTGAATATTAACTGTTATATCTTGAAGAACTAATTCTAAATTTTCACGATATTTTGTTGATAATTTATTAATTCTGAAATTAAAAAAAAAAAAAAAAACAATTTAAAATTTAAAAAAAAAACAATTTAAAATTTAAAAAAAAAGTAGAAATCATTGCATACTGAATTTCTCCAGTTGTTGGCCAATCAATTGGTGGTTTCTTTTCTGGTATATCCCATGGAGCTTCTGGTTTTAATTCAGCATATTCATTAACACGTTCAACACTAACAATATTTGTTTCAATATCACTTGCCATACGAACAAGCCAATTAAGTGTTTGAGTTATTTGCATTGCATAAGTTATTGTTAAACCAACAATACCTGCTGTAAGACGATAACGCATAAGAACAGCAAATAAAGCTGTACATAATGTTAATGCATTGGCAATTGCTTCTAAACGTACTGCAAGCCATCTATGAATTAATAGAAAAAAAAAGAAATATATTTTACAATAAGACACAATGTCTTAAATATTATTATTTATTTTAATTGCAAAAAAATTCTCTGAAAAATTAATTAAATTTATAACTAACCTATTAGTAATACAACTAGCTAAATAACATGATTGATTTCTATCAAGTAATCGATCTGATATATCAATGAAACGTTGTTGTACATTGTAAGCTCTAATTGAACTAAGTCCTTGAATTGTTTCTCCAAAATTTGAATAAACAGGACTACGTGTACTTGAATCAAGACGTCGAAGTTGTCTTGAAGATGCTACATAAACACGCTAAAATAAACAAAAAAAAAATCTCAATAATTATCATTACAAAAAATTCTTCAGTAAATGAATACCTGAATAAAAGAAAAAACTATAGCAAGCGGTATTAATGCACAAATGGCAAGCCATGATCCATATATAAGTATAATAATCGTTATTAATACATGTGCTAATGTAGTAAATGATGAGGAAAATGAAGTAGGTAAAGATGAATCAATTGCATCAATATCTTTAGCAAAGCGATTGATTATTCTACCGATTGGTGTTGTATCAAAAAAAGCCATTGGTGCACGTAATACACCAAATAATATAGAAGAATGTAATTTTCTACTAGCAGCATAAGCAGCAAAATAAACGAAAAATTGCAAAGAAAAAGCCACAAATCCTAGAAAAAAAGAGAATCACACTAAAATCAAATTTTTTATTTCTCTACAAGCATGTATAGCTAATAGCAAAGAAAAAACAGAATCAAATATTCTTTCTATCTTTTTTTTTTGTTAACCTCAAGAAAAATAAATGGAATAAATATTATAATCATAATTGGTATTGTTTCAGGCAGAAAATTAGCAATAAGAATAAAACAAATTATAAAACCAAGTATGGCATTAAGCGTTGAACGTAATGTAAACATTATAACGTCATCAATGATATCAAAATCATTTGTAAAACGATTTATTATTCGACCAATAGGTGTTTGTTCAAAAAATGATAATGATAATTGAAATAAATTAAGAAGAAATCTATTAAATAATTTACGTGATGCATTTAAACTTGTTTTAAACATCATATAAGTGCCTGTGAACTCAAATAGAACTATAAAACTTTTTTTCTTTTTTTTTTTTTAATTAATAATATTCTAAAGGAATGGTTTTTTTTTATGAGGAAAAAAAGAAAACAAAAACAATTTTGCTTTTTGATTTATTACCTTGACAAAAACCTAATATTGAATAAATTGTTAAACCATGGATTTTACTCATTGATGATGATGATGATGTATCATTAGTTGATATTGTTTCATTTTTAGATCGATCTGTCCATCTTGATAACCATATATTTGTACTTAATGATGTAAGTGTTGTTAATGAAAATAAAATAAATATTAATAAAACCATTGGCATTGTACATGCATGAATATACGTAAGAAATACATTTAATTTAACCTAAATTTTTATATTTAATAAATTGTAGAAGAAAATAAAAATGAAATAAAACTTACTGAACCAGTTTCAACAGTTTCTTTTTGAATAAGTTTATCTTTTTTTTCTTTTAATTCATTTGAAGGTATTTCAATTGTTGCTGATTTTATTGTTTCATTTTGAGCTTTATCTCCAATTGTTTTGAAGATATTTTCACTGATCTCAATTGGAGATGTTGGTGGAGTTCTAGCATCTAAATTAAGAAAAAAAAAGGGGGGAAGGATTGACTAACATTGTTAGTCCGTGTGATTCCATAGTCGATTTATTTTATACCTCAGAGGTTTTATCATAGTATGTTAAATCATACTAATCCATGATATTAACACAAAGGGCAATATTCAATCGATTAGATTATCACATCGAAGAGAGAGAGAATCGATGCACGTGTGTGTCTATCGATCGGTCCAGCCGATGTCTAACTACGACTCTGGCTTAACCGATCATCACAAATCGATGAACTGCGATATTAGATGATATAGATCGACATGGTGAAATTACATGCAGAATGAAAAAAAAGTATTCTATATAAGTTTGATGTTCGTATCTAACTTATAGCTGTTTTTTCTTGCTATTAATAGAATACACAAGAAATTTTATTTATTAAGGAAAATCATTAGTCGATCATATTTAATATTCGATATCTATTAATTACAATGAAATTCAATCTAGGTAATTACAAGTGAAAAATAAGAATATCTCTTGAAAAAAAAAGATCTATGAATCTTTGTTTTTCAGTGCATGATTTTCTTCTCTTCATTATTGATTTTAATTAATAATTTCTCAAAAAGAAGTGTGCTTATTCATTCCATATGTTAAAAATATATCCAATGCAATTAAATAAATGGAATATTTTTAAAAAAAATCCATGAGTTGATTCGAGTGAAAGGTCGATAACCTATGAGCCTGCTTTCTTCGATCCGGTCTAACTCATTAAAACTCTCTTTCATACATACAGGAACGTAGGGAAGGGGGCGACTGAGGAAGCTTTAGCCTCCCCTCCCTCAGAAGAAAAATTTCTCGAAGGAGGGTATGGGCACATTATTTCCATTCAGCGAAAAAGTTTTTTTGGCCATGTTCAGTCTCTCCTTCAGAAAATTCCTGGCTACGCTCCTGCATACATATATAATATAAAATATGATATATTGTATACCTGCATCACTTGCTCTTCGTTCATTTCCTTCCGTAACAATTGCATATACAAGATCACGTAAAATTTTACTTTTATTCATTAATTCATCATATGGTCCATGATCAACAATTTCACCACGTGAAACAACAACTATTTCATTACATTTATGTAAATGTGCTACACCATGTGTTACTAAAAGACGAGTCTAAATAATCAAATTAAAATGAATACGTTGTTTCTTTTTTTTTCAAATAATTAATGAAATATAATTATTTTACTTTTGTTTTTAGTAAACTATTTGGTCCAATAGCCGTTCTAAATATATGAGCACCAACATGTGCATCAACAGCTGATAAAGGATCATCAAGTAGATAAATATCTGCTTCACTATATAAAGCTCGAGCTAAAGAAACTCGTTGTCTTTGTCCACCGGATAGATTAATTCCCTAATTTGAATTCGTTCTTACATATATATATACATATATTATCAAAATTTTATCATATTTACCTTTTCTCCAATTTCTGTTTCATCTCTTTGTGGTAATATATCTAAAATGAAAGATATTTATCAAAAAAATAAGAAAACACAAATAAATTTTAGTATACCAAAATCAGGTTTTAATGCACATGCTTCAATAACTTGATTATATAATTTTTGATTAAAAACTTTTCCAAATAAAATATTCTGTTTAAGTGTTGCATTTAAAATCCATGCTGTTTGTGGTACATAAGCTATTGTTCCATTAACATCAACTTGTCCAGTAATTTTATTCATTTCACCAAGTAAAACTGATAATATACTTGTTTTACCTGAACCAACTGATCCAATAAGAGCAACAAGTGAACCTTGACGAATTTTAAGATTAATACTAAATGAAAAGAAATAATTTATTATTTTCTAATTCATATTTATTTAATTATTCGTTTTTTTTTTCTTCTATACTTTTTTAATATAATTGGATCATCAATTGAATTTGACCATCGAAATGAACCATTCTCAATTTTTATTATATTGCCATCAGAATCGATAGATGTTCTATTGACAGCATATTCATCAATTTCTTCATTGTTTAAAAATTTTTGTATACGTTTATTTGATACCCTAGCCTATCAAAGAAAAAAAAAGTAAACAATTCATAATAAAATATGTCTTAAAAAATATTCTCAATTTACTTCAATAATACTATTAACAACAGTCGGAAATACCACAAGTGGAAATCGAAGTAAATTAAATAATGCTAATGAAACAAAAGCTTTTTCAGCTGTTAAAATATTATTCTCTGATGATAATACATATGTAGCAAATGTTGCAATGCATACCTTAAGAAAAAAAACAAAAAAGAAAAATTCGATGAATTTATTTATTAGTTAATAAAAAAAAATTTATGTACAAGAATTGGTGCAAATGCCCATACTGCACTTGACATTGCATTTAGAACAGCTTTTCGACGTATACAACTAAGTTCTTTTTCTCGTATATCATTTAATCGTCGAATAAATGCTAATTCCCATGCATATAATTTTAAAACTTTTATTCCATTAAGAACTTCATTCATCATTTTTATTCGATGATCTTTTAATACCATTTGTTTTGTCTAAATTTAATTTTGAATTATGAAAAAAAAAAGAAAAAGTTGTTTTTCTTTTAAACTATCTACATACTGCTAATTTCTTTATAATTCGTTGTAAAAATAAATTAAATGGAATTACAAGAATTAATAAAAGAACACCAGGTATAATTGCTAATTGCATTTGTCGATAAAGTAATACAAGTGCAAGACAAATTTGAAATGGTCCTATATTATAAAACAGTTAGATTCACATATAAATACAGTCTCGAACAGTAGAGTATATAATCTTTTTCATTTCAAACTGAATTTTGAAAATATAACCCCTTTTTTTTATAGAGTGTGGTTCTTTAGATGTTTATAGTATATACTCCTATTTTGATAGGGTGTGGGTGAGAGTCTTCTTTTGACTTACATCCACATCCACCAGCATCCCGACAGTCACACCTACACCCCATAGGAATAGGGGAATATGTAGTATACATATCGCCATTATAATTTTAAAGACCTGTATCCTATAAAAATAGGGGGTATATATCATGCATGTCATCAGCAAAATTCTAAAGACCTGCATGTCCCGCATTTCAGTTTGAAATCGAGTATCGTTTTTTTTTCTTCTAAATTCAAATTGAAATCAAAAGAACCATAGTATGGGATAGTAGTATTAATTATGATACTTACCAGACCATAAAACATGAATATATGAAGTTATATCACCAAAACGTGATGCATCAATTGACATCTATATTTAAATATAAAAAAAAAAATAACAACATAATTCAAAACAAAAAAACAAAAAGAATTTATTTACTAAATTAACAATTTCTCCTGTTGTTGTTCCTTGTTTAGCTGAATTTGATAATTTTAAACTCTATTATAATAAATAAAAAATAATATGAATATGAATAGACAAAAAAAAAACAAAATTTACTTTTCGATATATAAGTCCAGTTATAGCTGAACGAAATCGAAGACCAACAATATATTGTCGATGAAAATAAGCTTGTAAAAATAATGTTTGACAAAGAACAGTTGCACCAAGTAGAACAGCATAAAATATCCCGAGCCATGTTGGTGCTGTTGGATCATTAAAAAAAGTAAGAACTTCTCTAAATAAAAAGATCAATATTTTGTTTCAAACGAAAGAAAAAAAACAAAGAAATTTTTATTGTACTTGAGAATCATCGGTCCACTAAATTGTAAAAGATCATGAACAAGTTTTAACAAACCACCAGCAATAAGTTTGCCTTTATATGCTGCAAAGAGAGCACGCCAAAAAATAGTTGGTTTTCGAGTTTTTGCTGGTGTCCCTTTTATTTCAATCGATGGCTTTGAAATACAAAAGAAATAAGAACAATTAAAAATAAAAATATATCTCAAGACTGAAAGGATAGGGTCTAGAAACCGAAATTCACCTGTGTCGGTCTGTCTGTCTGTAACACCTGGTACAAATAACCATTTTCATGGTACAAGTGACCATTTTCATGGTACAAGTGACCATCTTGATAGTACAAGAGACCATTTTCGTGGTACAAGTGACCACGAGAGTGATACAAAGGATCATAGTGATGGTACGAAGTACCATAGCTATAGTACAAGTGATCACAACAATAGTACAAAGAATCATAGTGATGGTACGAAATATCAAAGCCATGGTACAAGTAACCACGACAGTGGTACAAAGGACTGTAGTGATGGTACGAAGTACTACAGCCATGGTACAAGTGACCATGACAATCGTACGAAGTACCACAGCCGTGATATAGGTGATGGCGACTTTGGCACAAAGGACTATAGTGATGGTAAGAAGTATCATAGCCATGGAACAAGTGACTACGACAGTAATAAAAGTTGTTTCTAGCTGCCTACGATAAATAGAGCTCTGGTAATTCGAGATGCATCAGTGCACGAGAAAAAATTATGCATTCAACATACGAAATCATCATTGGACATAAAGAACAGAATGCTCAGAATAATATGAGAAAAGAACTAGAATAATAAAGGTCGGTTTCTCGTCAAAAACATAAAATTCAAGTTTTTAATTACAAAAAACTGACTTTTTGGAGTGGTTGCTCTTTCATGTGAAGTTCTCTGGCCAGTTTATTTAGTACTTTGGGAAGAGTACATTTAGAATCAGGATGCAGTGGTGTGTATATCTGCCTTCCCTCAGTTTAGGGTTCAGTGAATCGAGAATCGATGAACATTGCTTGTTAATCACACTTACCAATTTGTTTAACTAAATAGAAAAAATAAATATTTATAGAAAAATTTTGCAATAAGAAAACAAAAAATTCTATTCAAGCTCAAATAATTAATACATAATACAAAAACTTACTAAATCTTGATCTTCATCTTGAATTTTGTTGCTATTAGAAGTATAATTTTTATTCCAAATTTTACTCTGTTCATAAGCTATGGCTTTTGCTTGATTGATTTTTCTAGAAAATTTATCATAATAAAAATAAAAAAGAACTTAAACAAAATATTTCAATATATCAACCCTTCGAAACAAGCTTGTACACGATGAACAACATTAACAGCTCGTTCTGATATTTCCAATTCCCAACAATCTTCTTCAGTTAATGATTGTTTATAACCACGAATAATAAGTGGTGTTACCCACCCGAAAGTTAAACGAGATGGAAAACTTTTATATAATTCAGGTACAATTGGCTAGAAATAGAAAAGAATAAATTTGTAAAAGAAAAAACATAGATAAAAATTTTGTTCAATCAATTAGATATTGTACCCTTTCATCGGCAGCTAATTTAGAAAAATGATATTTTTCTGCTAAACAATGTAAAATAAATGAGCCAAATGCAAGAATAATATGAAGCCAAACACGAATAACTTCGTTTAAGATACGTCTTGATTTATTCTATATAATATTCATTGAATAGTTTAAACAAAACAAAAAAATTTATAATAAATAAAAATAATTTACTCGTTGTTGATATTCAATTGAGTAATCGATAACATCCGGTATTATTGTCAAAAAAACTAATAACCAAAAGCCAAAAAGTAAACCCGAACAAAACATACCTTTAAGACGTTCATAATTCATTAACCAAAGAATAACTAATAATGTTATTGTATATAAAATTGGACTTATCATATTAGCTTGACTTTTTTCTGTATCTAATTGTAATGTATAATAAATAATACGAACAATTTGAACAAGAAGAAATAGAATAGTGAAAACCTATGATAAAATTTAAAGCAATTATTAACTTTTTTTTTTTTTATTTGTCATTTGTCTTCAATAACAAGTCATAATGGTTATTAGATTTTGCAAAAAAAACTTCGACTCTACATTCTCTACTGTCTTTTTTAATATTTATTGCATACAGAAAACGAAATAAGAACATAGAATAAATAATATTAGATACAGATATTTCATATTATTATTTTCTTTTTCTACTCATAAATAATCGAGTAATGTCTTGATAAATTATCAAAAAAGCAACACTTGAAAATTACAATAATTTCTTCAATATTTTCACAAAATTGTAGAACACAATGATTTCTTCTATCATATCTACAAAATGATAGGTAAACGAATTAGACATTACCTTCATAAACTATGTAGAAGTATTATGAATTCTGTTGCAATGATCTCAAAAATTATAAATTAATAACTTCAATTAGATGTTTCCACTCTTATTACTTTCTTTTTTTTCAAATTTCACAACAAATACAAATAAATATGCGCATATCTTTACCATTTTAATAATGAATAAACTTGAAATAGGCAATGGTTTTGGTTGAATTTTTCTTTTATGTAACATCCACATCCATAATGGTAAAATTAACCAAAAAATTCCGATTGGAAACCATTGTAAAGCTGTATCACGAAAGCATTCAGTTAAATAAGGATATGGTGCTTTTGTTATAGAATTATTCTGTATAAAAGAAAATATCATTTAACAAGAAAATATAAATAAAATTGATTAAAAACACACCCAAAATGGAGTTGTACACAAGCGAGTCATTTTTCTAAAATACAACACAAGCTAGAGAATGATGCTTGAATAATTAGTATTTTTTTTTTTCAAACATATATATATATATATTCATTCATTTTGTCAAACACATAAGATTTAGAATAAGAAACAAAATATCTTTTTTTTTTTTTTTTATTAACGTTTTCTTTTTCTAAGCATCTTTACTTCGATTTAGTTAAAACATACAATAAACATAGAGACAAAAAAAAAGCATGATGAAGACAGTCAAATATTTGTTGACAAAATTCGTGTTTTTTTTTTGTTTTGTTTTTGAAATCACAACAAAAATCTTTCGATGATCACAAGAACATATTTCCTAGATTTATATATGTTAAACATAGATATTTTAGACTGTCAATATAGACAAAAAATAAAATAAAATAAAACGAAAAAAAAACAAAACAAACAAGGACAGATAGATAGACATAGAAACAAGAAATGACAATAAAAGAAAATGAATGATTATTATAATGTGACTAATATGATTTAACCCTTGCATAAACTTTCTAAAGCATCACTTGTATTCCAATGCATTGTTGACAATGCTGAACGAGCTTTTTCCTTGAAGAAAAAAAAAAAAAAAAAAAAGAACAAATAAGTTATGTAACATATTATTAAAAGAAAAAATTTTACTTCAGAAAAACCCATTTCAACAAGACTTGCTACAGCTGCATCACATTCTGGTTCAGAATTTGGTCCTAGAGAATATAATAAGACATATTTCTAACTGATTATTTTAAAATTTTCATTTACCATTTGCGTATACATTTGCCCAATGTCGAGCTGTTTTCTCAAATAATTTTCGATCCTTTTTGTATTGATTAGCAACAACTAAAATAATAAAATATGCAAAAAAAATAATTGTCGGAATATTAGTTTTACCTGCATCTTGCGGATCATCTGGTTCTGGTGTTGCAAGTAATGCTTGTAAACTGAGCAACACTGTTCGTATAGTCATTGCAGCTGCCCTATTATAATAAATAAGTATTTAAACTGCGTATAAGTTTAGAGGTCGCGATGGCCTATGTCTTAAAATCAGGAAAACAAATAGAACAATCTCATAGAAAAAAAAATCAAGATATTATAAAACTTATTTTATTATTTCTGTACAAGACAAAATGTTCATATAAATGTATAATGATAAATTCAGGACACATGTTTCTCTAACAGTTAGTCACGCCTCGCTTATTCCTCAATGCCACTTCTTAAAAATTATACATCCTGAGCAAAATTCCTCTCACTCCGCTCATTCTTCTCGTTAATATCTACTAGCATTTGCATGACTTCGAGTCAAATTTTTTAAAATTAATGTGAAATTCTATTGAAATGGATTTCTTTGATTTCGAAAACTTAAACATAATTTTAGTAAACTATCGAGTGCATTTTCTAAATTTTGTCATATACTCAACAGTGGAAAAAATACGACTTTGCATATTACATAAGTGTAAATCTTTTCAAGAAGTTATTCATGATTACAGTTTGTTCATAGCCATTGGCTTTATTAATGACAATATGTTTTAAACCATAAATTAAGAATTGTATTAGAATAGAACTTAACACTTAACAAAGTATATAGAAAAATAAAAAACAAATTTTGAAATTTGTACTGAATAGTTTGCTAAAGTTATATTTACTAGAGAAACAACATTCATTCAACAATGCAAATAAATTCATACTAAATTTCACAACGATTAAAAATGATGAAACGCTAAGTATCTGATTTGAAACCTCAAAGAATTGAAAACTATTAAAAACCTGATTATGAGATAACACAAAAAATAAATAAATAAATAGTTAATAGAAATTTAATATGAACATTATATCTTTCTTTCTTAGTGGAAAATATTCTACAACTATTCTATAAAAATCTTGAAAATAGATTACATATACATGTCATAATCATGTAGACATAATTCTATGATGACAGATCGCGAAATATTAGAATAAAATTAAGATTTTTAGTCGCAAACAGGAAAATCAAGAAAGGTAATATCGCTACGAAGTCTGTATAAAGTTAATAACAAGCAATAATGATATCTTTTAATGAAAATTTAATAAATTCTTACCACTGATCTTTAAGAATATCAAGACAAATTGCACCAGTAACTGAACTAATATTTGGATGCCAAATTTTTGTTGTAAATCGAACTTTAGGTGGATTAAATGGATATGTATCTATAAATAAAAAGCTATTAGTACAATCCCTACGGGATTAAAATGTGAAACACGATGTAACTGTTGTTGCTAATTATAGGAAGATTATTTCATCCTATCTATATAAGGGCACATTTCTTCAGGATCCTTTTATCTAATTCTGCAGAAATGCATAAAGGAAGTAGTTCATATTTTATAAAGAGATGTTATGGATGTACGGTCTATGACGCGAGAGGGTAAGGAGTATGTCATCATAGTCTCTGGAAGAGGTGGAGACACTATGTACAATTTCTATAGAACACGTGAACATGATTTATTTCCTATCAAAAACGTATAATGTTAATTTCCAATATTCAACAGACAAAGTGATGGGAAAAAACGAAATTTCTAATAGAACATTTTCGATATAAAATGCATGACAGGACTCCCATACCGTAAACTTTTGTTGAAAATATTTTTATTTTATAAAATAAAGAACTGTCAGATCATTCGATGCAGTTTTCTGTACTGATTCCAAATATGTCCTTATTTTTCTCTTAAAGCACTCTTGAGACAAAAGAACATGAAAAATCTTTAAGAATCCAGGTTTTTTTAGAAAACCTGTATGTCAATCCAAAAAGATTTATGTATTTTTATGCTAACTGAATGTACGTGTCAAGCAGAGAAAGACCTTCTATGAAAGTTTCATCGGATTTGGAAATATGTTAAAGTGCGGATACTTTTTCCCAACAGGAAAAATGTTAGAACAAAGTTTTTTTTTTATACAGAACGATAGAGCAAGAACTCTACGATTTATTCCGTAGGTCTTTTTGCTTTCTTTGAAAAGAGAAACTTGGCCATTTTTTGGGCCTAGAATTTCCAAAACACATAAAGAGCTAGAATCATTTTTTTTTAAATCAAAATATCGGCCATTGGCCAAAGTATGTTAGACATTATTCAAATCGCAAAAAATATCACTTTCATTTTTTTCACTAAATATCCTCGTCGTTGTCCATTGTATGAAGGGAGTCGGTTCAAATTATTGCCCTTATACCTCAACACTCCTTTTAGATCGTGTTTCACAATAAATACGTATTCTATTTTTGTATATTCACTTACCAACAACAATAATATCAACATGAAATCGAGCACCAGCATAAGGTGTATCTGGTGGTCCTTGAATAGATCCAGTTAAAAAAATTTCTTTTTTATTTGATTGTGATCCTAAATTAGATACATTTCTTGTTAATTCACCTTCTGGCATTTTTAAATCAATTCCATTCTAAAATAAAATAAAATAAAATAAATAAATATTATTTTATTAGAATTTCTTACAGATTCATTTGTTACGACTTCTTTGAATTCTTTCATAATTCGATTCATTGCAATATTCATGATTCTTGTTTTGTTTTTTATATTAAATTATGAAATAATATATCTGCAAAGTGTTTACTATCATATTTTTGTTTTTCGTAAATAGGAAATATGAAAAAAAAAATTTATCTATAGTTGCCATGAACAACAAAAAACAATTCTTATTTGCCTAAGACTTTCTTTATTTAATTTTTTTGGTTGTTTTTTTCTCTTGGTCTACACACAAAAAAAAAACCTGAACACACACGTATAAACTCGAGCACATACGGCACAAAAAAAAAAAAAAGAGAAAGAACAAAACAGCGAATCATACAAACGCCGAAGTAACACGTGCACAAAAAAAACCAAACAACAAAGAAAAAAAAAAGAAGGATTCTAGTTTTTTGTCGCTAAAAAAATAACTGAACCAAGACACATACGCAAGGTTGAATCTTACCAATAATATAATACGATGAACAGGGTTGCACAAAATACTGCTGCATAGACGCAAGCGACTGTTGTTTATCCCTTTTAAAACTGAAGAAAAAAAAACCACACACATGTATTATGACTCTAAACACGGACGGGGTGCTTAAATATCACACGCACACACACACACACACGAAAAAGCAAAAAAAAAGTTCTTGCTTAATCGAAAATAAGCAAGTAGAAAAGAAAAATTCGTCTTGAGTTTTGTTTTTTTTTTTTTTTAAATTTAGTCATCATTTACGAACCGAAAAGAGATACGATTGTCCACCGATTAGCACCAAAAGAAGCATTATGACATGTAGAATTTTCTATAATTTGAATTAATGTAATATACGTACGCTTCTTCCTGAGGTTGCTGAAAAAAACCGAGTATCCTGAGCTATGAACAATGAAGATAGAGCAAGTAAAAAAAACCAACAGAAAACAACCGGATCGGTGTAATATAAATAATAATGAAAATTCATACGGTGAACAAAAAAGAACGAAGAGATAGATTATATGAGATTTAACATCAACAAGAAAAAGAAACGCAACAAAAAAAAAAAAATCAGATTCGTTATTGATTTTTTTTTTTATTGCTACATAAACACACAACTGGAAAAGAGTAAGAACTACAATCTTGAGTGTATTGTTTAATAGTGAAAACAGAAGAAAAAAAAAAAAAAGAAACAAACTAGTGAAAGACTGGCGCTAGACAGAAGAAAAAAGAAAAAGAAACAAATCTATATCTAGTGTGAAATAGTATAAGATCACCGCGTGCTACCTACATTGCGTACACACCACACACAAACAAACAAAATCAATAACAATGCATAGATTTTAGAACAATAGATTTTATGTTCGTCAATTTCGTACATTTGTTAATTGCAATAGAATTACACCTTTGTTTGGCTCTGAGTATCTAAATAAATATTTTACATAAAAAAACAAAAAATATATATCGAAAAATCGCTTTTTTAAGAGTATTAATAAAATATTCTCTGATCCATTCTGAACACCGTTTTACTTAGGATTTATATCAATCGATAGAGGTTGAAATTTTAAGTCTACTGGATTTCACTGTGAGTCATCAAGAAGATGTAAAGCAAAACTTTTTAGAATGATCCTCTCTGAGTCAAAAGTTTGTTTTTATTTACTTATAATTTTGTTGTTGTAAATAAGCAAGAATAGCTGAATGTATTTTTCCATGACCACCACCATAAATAGAATTTTTTCCATAATCTGTTATAATTTCAATAGATTTTGGAGTTGTTCGTTGATTTTCTTCATTAAATTCTTGTTCAATTTGTTTAAATAAATTTAATGCTTCAGTTAAATGCAAACCATGAAGATCAATTCGTTTTGTTTGATGATATTGTTCAAGTTTCCAACATAATAAACGTTCATATGCAATTCGATTAGCATTTTTCATTAATTGAGTTTCTTCACTAGCACGATGAATATAAAATGATGCAACACAAGACATTCCATGATGATTTGCTTGTTGAGCTTTTATATAAAATTCTTTACGTTGTTGTGCATGATGAAAAACATTTCGTCGTAAATTTTCATAAGATTCAAGAACAGGTTCAATTGGTTTTTTACTTGTTGATATAGAATTTGTCGATATTATCGACGAAGATTTATGTAGATTTGTTATTGAAGTATTTTCATCAAACATTTTTGATATACAAACAAGTGTAATTTCATAATTATATTCATTTTCATGAAATATATCATAGAGTAGATCAGAATCTAATGTAGGAAAATGACGTTCGAGTTCTTTTAATTTAAATTCAGTAGCATAATCAAGTTGGCATTTCTAAAAACAGTTCAAAAGCAAAAATAACAATTATGTTATTTAATGAAATCAGAAAATAAATTTCTCTCGTTTTTTTTTGTCGAAAATAAAAAAGAAAAGAATTCAATAGAATTTCTTATTCATGATATATAAGAAGTAAGTGTTTCCCACACTATTTAATACAATACCCGACAAGATCATTCATATTAGAATGAGATCATAATAAAAATTATTTTCCAAAAAAATGTTAAATTAAATATACAAAATACTTTTCAATTTAATACTACGAAGCACTAAACTTAATCTTTTTTTTTTTTTGTCTAGTTACAAAATCTATATCTACATTGAAGATAATTTTTATTCAAAAGAAGAAATATTGTGAGAATGTTGAAGTGTATAGAAAATAAATTCATTTCTCTTCAATCAAACTCACATAAATAGAATAAAAAAAACCAATGTTTGAAGATTAATGAGATATATACACGAAAGTGTCATATTAATTACCTTTATGAATTATTATAATAATTGACATAGTATACTGAACTTTTTTTCTTTTCTTTTTCTTAAGTTGAATTTAATTGTTTGTTTTTTTTAGAAGTAATTGATAAAAAGAAAAATGAATTTGAATACCTGTTTTGATTTTTGAGATTTAACTACTTGTTGTTGTTGTTGTTCTTCATTCATAATTTGTTTAAGTGATGGTATATGATTTGTATTTATATCAGAATTTAATTGATTATCTGATGATAATTTCCATTGTTGAATAGAATTTTTCTTTTTTTTTATTTGATTTTCAATCACCGGTTTTTTTATTTTATTTGATTTGATTAAAAATCTTTGTAATGCTTGATAAATATTTATTGATAAATTATTATCTAATGGTAATAATATATTATTATTATTCGATAATATTATAGATTTATTTGGTAATTCACCATATAATTCTTCTAATGAATTTATCATTGTTAAAGGAATATTTATTTGATTTATATCAATATATTCAATATTAGTATTATTTAATGTTAATTCTTCAAATATTTCATCATCATTTATATCTTGAAGTAAATCATCAATTGATTTTGTATCAACTAATGGATTTATAGATTTAATTTGTTCATTCCATTGATTTAATACATTTAAACATAATTGTTGAAGTGTTAAAATATTTGTTTGTTGTATATTATTATTTTGAAGATATTCATCAATTTGTGTTCGTGTCCATTGAATATCAAAATGACAAATTTCATAAAATTGTTGTATAGTTTCAATTGATAAATGATTTGAATAAATATCAATTAATAAATCAATATTATTATCAATTAAATCAACTTGTATACCACATTCATTATAACCAGGTAGTGGTGATAATGATGATGTTATTATAAATTGAGTAGAAATAGATGATAAATGACCAATTAATATTCGATCGGAATGATTTATTTGAGAATTAAAATCATTCGATGAACATTGTATACCAATATGTTTTGTTAATAGAAATGAATTATGTAAAGGTTTATTTAATTCATTATGAATAATATTTAATAATTCACAATTTTTAGAATTAGTTAATTGTTTTTGTTGATGAGATAATGTTGATGAATGATTCCTAAAAGACAAAAAAAAACAAGCAAATCAATGATTAGTTTTTTTGTTTAAAATTTCGAAGTTTTTTTTTTCGGTCAAATATTTGAAAGTTCGCTTTTTTATTCAGATTTTTAATGCTAAAAAGGCGAACATCTATTTTTTTGAGTACAGATACACAATACAATACAAATTCCATGAAGGTCAATCCGATATTCAGAGAGAAGCACCGCTTTCTCAGTTTCTATACTAGATAAAATACTGTTCGAAAGAAAGAAAAGAAAAAGAATCGCAATCGATTTTTTTTTATATAAATTTAAACAAAAAGACTAAGAATTATGTTTACTTTAGAGAATTAATTTGTATATCAAAATTTCTATTAACATTATCAATCCAATCATTATCATTATTTTCATCAATAACAACAAAATCTGAACATTCTTCAGGAAGAATAACATGAAAAGTTGGTTGTTGTTGTAGATTATCTTCTTCATTATCCATATTATTATTATTATTATTATTATTTACATTTAATAAAATTTCATTTGATTGTTGTTTATTTTTATTTTTTCGTCGTTTTTTTCCAATAATATTTGATTGTGTTGATAATTGTGGTGTTAAATTTGTTGTATCGATACAACGTGAAAATGTTGATGATGGTATACGTAAAATATGTTCAGTATTAAATGAATGATCTTGATTTGTTGTTGAAGAAAAAGAAAAACGTGTTAATGGACGATGAAAACGTGTATGTGATGTTGAAGGTGTTGGTGGTAATGATGTTGTTGTTGTTGTTGTTGATGATGATGATGTTGATATTAATGATAAATCATGAAATGAAACTGATAATGGTGATGAAGGTTGTGATGTTGTTGTTACTGTTGTTGTTGTTGTTGTTAATATTGATGTTGATGATAATAATGTTGTTTGATAAAAATTTGATGTTAAAAATAAAATCATATCATTTATACAAAGACGTACATCATCAATAATTAATGAATCATCAATAATATTATAAAATTTTTTTGATATTAATAATGAATCAATTATTTCATTATTTTTATTAACATTTTGTTGTTCAGTTGATGTTAAATTATTTGTTATTGTTAAAGATGGAATTTGATTAATTATACTTTGAACTGTAATATTATGTTCAAAACGATTTAACATTTCTTTTATACGTCGTATTGGTAAATTATGAACATTTCGTCTAAATAAAAAGAAAACAAATTCAACTATTTAATTCTACAATGGTTAGAGAGCAGTTGTATTTCTGAGAAAATTAAGATCTCGAAAATCAATTGTCTAGCATTCATTTGAAGGTTTTTTGGAGATGATTTGATCTAGTAGAGCAAAATGAGATGTTTTAGCTCTCTTCATCAAACTACATTTAATTTAATCCTGATAGAGAATCTTTTGAGCTACTCAAAAATACAACTGTTCTAAACTTTTGTCCATCACTATATTTAACATTCAAGAAAAAGAAATTACTTGAATAATTCTCGAGCTTTATAACGCCATGGAGTTTGAGGTTCGACTAAAAGAATATCATAACCAGCTTCTTTACCCTAAAAAAAAAAACAAACGTAAATAGATCAATACGTAAAACAAAATGAACATTGAATATTTACCATTGCAACATATGGTTTCATTTCCCATGTTTGTGTATTTGTATTATCAATTATAATTGGTGATATGTTCCGTTTTAATGCATCTGTTGCTAAATGAACAAAAAAAACAAAAACAATTTATTTTGAAAATATAAAATATTTATATTTATAAAAAACCTCGTCGACAAGTATATCGATGTGCATCATCTAATTTATTTGAATCGAATGTATATTTATTTAAATTATTATCTGTAAAATAATCATCTGCTGAAAGTATTAAACCATTATAACCATGATTAAGTGATCTTTAGGAAAAAAGATTATTTAATTTTTAATTGTTATTATTTAATTTAAAAATTAATACTTACTTAGCTAATGTTGATTTTCCTGAACCTAAATTAAAAGAAAAATAAAAAACTAATTATTTCTTTGTCCTAATCTAAAAATCATATATTTATTTGCTTTTTTTTTCAAATGCAGTAGAATATATTGTCCAAAGATTTCATTTGTAATTAATTTAATCATAAAGTAGCAAATCTCAAATTCGTATCAATTTTAACTTTTGTATGTCAAAATTTTGACAAACTTTGAAACTTCTTACGAGTTTATATATTCATAAATAGCAAAAGATAAAATCTTGGATATCATTCAATTCGATTGAGAAATTAGAAATCAAAAATTAACTGCTAACCTACAATAGATTGAGTGAAAATCATATATTTGTTCATACAATATCTTTGGACCACAATAACAGAGAAGTAGAAATCGAAAATCTACTGATATCACATATTTCTAGACTTTAGAAATATATAGTAAGAATAGATCTCTGATTTGTATTTTTCTTATCATGGTTATACATTTCTGCTTCAAAAAAAGAACCCAGAAATTAAGTTAAATAATAATTTGAGATTTATCACGATCTTTATTTTATCAAATATTTTTCACGTCGCAAAAATTCTTGTATAATCAATGTTATTTATCACTTTGAAGAGTAGAAACTATTTTATTTTTGAACCATAAAATATGATTGTACTAAAAAGTTTAAGTCAGTGCATTTGCCGAGAATCTATGAATAGTGAGAAAATAATCAAACATAGACAAATGTTTTCTATAAAAAACAAAATACTGTCTAATTTTCGAATACTAAGGATAAGACTATAAATCACAGGAAAAAAAAGGGAATAACAAATAGAATAAAAAATTCTAAATAAAATTCATATTTACCAGGACATCCTCTCATTATAATTAATAATCGTTCATTATTATCAAGTCTTCGATGAATATCATCAACAATAATTTGATTATAATCATTTGTTACATGATTATCCATGATAATAACAAGATCATTATTAATATGATCTTTTTCATCAAAATCATCTTCAGATGTAAATGTTGTTGTTGTTGTATTTTCACCTGTTGATGTTAATGATAATGGTGGTGATACAGATTTATGTATTTGTTCATCTAATATTAATTTTTCTGATGAATTATCATTTATAACACGATCAAATTTTTTTGTTTTTTTAGATTTTACTTCAATCCAATCATCATTTATTTGCGGTTGTTGTTGTTGTTGTTGTTTTGGAAGAGAATTAGTTTCAGATGAAAGAATATTTCGATTATTATTGCGATTATTATTAAATGATTGACGTCGATGAGAATTTGTATTTGAAAATGATGTTGATGAGATATTATTTTGTGTACGTTGTTGTTGTTGTTGTTTAGTTGTTCGATCTCGTGGTGGTAATTGATTATGAATATGATTTGTTGATTGTTGTTGAGGTTGACGACGTTGTTGTTGTTGTTGTTGAGTATTTGTATTAGTTTTATTTGTTTTATTATTTTCAGATGTTTGAGAAATTATTGTTGAATATGTTATAGGCGTTATTTTAATTGGAGATGATGATAAAGGTTTATTATTATTATCATCTTGACTAGATGATGACGTTGATGTATTTGTTGATTCAATTTTTGAATTTGATTGAGATGAGAGAATGTTTGAATTATCTGTTTGTATTTGTGAAATATCATTTGTATTATCGCTATTATTATTATTATTGTTAGTTGAAGGTATTTCAGATGAAGCATCTATTTGTTCAGAATCATTTTCTATATGATTATTAACATTTGATATTGTTTGACTATTATTTATTGTAGTGCTATTTAATGGAGGAAAATTAATTTCATCATTAATTAAAATATTATTATTATTATCTCTTGATGATAATTCATTATCATTATGTAATGGAATCCATTCAGCAGCTTCAGGATTTAAAAATGAATTTGTTGATTGAGTCATTGTTGTATTATTTAACATATATGTTGATGGTGATGGTAGTTCATTTATTGGATATGATGGAAAATAAGGATGACCATGTGATGTTATAGGTGTTGATGGTGGTGGTGGTGGTGGCCAAAGAAGTGGTGTTGGTGGTAGATTCATCATTTGTTGTTGAAAAGCAAGATATTCAAATTCATCTACTGGACGAATATTATATGCAATATGACCTGGTTGATGGACGGTAGGTGGATAAGTATAAAGAACACCGGGTGGTGTCGCCATTAATGGTGGCGGTAGATGTGAAGAATAATAATTACTACTACCACGTGGTAATATACTACGATAATGATGATGACGACGACCATTTGTTGTTGTTAATGATGATGATGATGTCGATGGTAATGTTGTTGATGATACTTGTAAATTTGATTCATTCTCAGTTATTGATGTTTGTCTTAAACGTGGTGGTAAATTTTGAGGAGATATTGTTGTTGAATTACCATTTTGATTATCTCGTGATGATGATGGTGATGATGATGATGATGATGATGATGGTTGTAATGTTGGAATAAACATTAATGGTGTTGGTTTTTCAAATAATGATGGTGGTATTGAATAATAATAATAGGGCGCTGGCCCATATGGATGACCATTTGTATAATATGATGATCGATGATATGGCATAGATGAATATTTAAATTTTGAATTAAATAATTTTCTTGATCCATGTTCATGTTCATCATGATTAACTGTTGATTGTGTTGCCTCTTTTTCTTGTTGTTTTTGTTCTTCATTGGTAGTTACTATTGGCGGACTAGTATTTACTAAAGCATCATTGTTATTAATTTCATTAGTTATATCAGTCTCTTCAATTTCAGACGTTAAATCATTACTAGAATAAAATAAAAATATTTATATCAATATCTAAATCAATCTTTCTATTTTGGAAAAAATATTTCATAGTATATGAAATAACAGAAAAAAAAGTCTTCACTTAAACACGAAGACTTTTTATTTGAAATATTTATTATTTACCTTTGTCCCTTTTCATTGAGTTCTTCTTGTTTTTGATCATTATCTGATGACCTATAATTGTGAGGAAAGAAAAAACTTTAAAAAAAAAAAAAGAAAACTTCAATTAAAACTTCTTACTTTTGTATAACTGTTGTTATTAATAATGAATCATTATTATTTAATGATGAATGTTCATTTTCAATAGGACATTGCTTTGAATCAATGTTAATCTCATTCTTTGAGTCGTTTTCACTTAAACTCGTCATTGACAAAATACGAACAAAATAAATTTGTTGTCGAAGAAAAAACAGATGTCAAACGACAAAACAAATATAATACGAAAAAAAAAAACGTCGTCAAAGATGGAAGAACAATAGAAAAAATTTTTTTTTGTTGTTGTTGTTGTTGTTTTGTTCTTCGTTTCAAACAAAAATTAGATTATAGTCGACAATAATAATAAGTCAAATATTTATCAAAAAGTAAGCAATAATTCATATGCATAAGATTTATACATCAGATAATAAAAAATGAATTTACCAAATAAATGACGGAAGTAATAGATGATGATAATAATAATAATAGATTGAACATATCATTTTCTAGAATAGATTAACCAAAAATGTAGATTAGTCTTTTGGTTTTTTTTCTCTGTAGTAATAAACATAATACTGTTCTTAATTTTTTTTTTTTTTCTTTTTTTTTTGTGTTGTCTGTTATCAATTGTTCTGACTCTATATAGACGAAAAACATCAAGTGTTTAATATGTTTTAACAATGACACAAAAAGAAACGGTATATCACTGGATAGTTATATACATTTTACAAATATACAGGATTTAATAAAAAAAAAAAGACCATCTTTTGTGTTAAGCACCCGTTCAATATAATTGAACACAATCGGAGAAGAAAAATCATTTAACTTGCTGATTTGGAGCAGTAGACATCCATTTTTTGTTTGTAGAAGATAATTTCAACCTGGACGGGTCATATGAAAATCAGCATGTATAGAAAATGTTCTGATTTTCATTCTATTTACGGGAATAATTGACGAATAAATTCATTTGAATCTAATGTCCCTGGTGAATCAACATCAACAGTACATGGATTATCATTTTCTAAAAAAAAATAAATAAATATTCAATCATATATGAGTAGACTGATATACTAAAAAAAACAATTTTTTTCTGAATAGTACCAATAGGCGTATGCGTTCGAGCAGATTTTATGCTAAAATTTCTTCAAAATATAATTAGGCTAGAATAAATCATAATAATAATAATAATTCTTTACTTAGTTTTATTTCGTGCAACAATTATTTCAATTTCATCATTCCATGGATTTACAAAAGGTTCAAATATTGTTTGTAGAATAACATATGAATTATCTATCGTACGAAAACGATAATCACCACTTGTTACCATCTGACGGTCACGACAGACTTAATTAGCAAAAAAAAAATCATTCAATAAAAAACAAACAATTTTATTTTTATATGTTTTTTTTTTCTTTACCTCGACTCCATAGGTCACTTATTTTATGTCGATCATCTTCATGTACAAAATCTTTTAAATTCATACCAAGAAGATCTTGTGATAAATACCCCAATAGAGAATAAGATCTAAATAGAAATTTAAATACAATAATACAGTAATATTTTATATGTTAAACAATGTATAGACAAAAGAAACTAACTAAACTTTATAACGATTATTTGTGCACAACTAATGTTATTCGATATAAATAGCTAACTAAACGAGTATGATATGATTTAAGATCAAAAGGTTATTGAGTATAGAATTTATTAATATTTCATAATTGACTCGAAATTATTTAGTTCACCTGTTAATAAGTAATATCGGAATTCGAACAAAAGGATTCTATACAAAAAGAACAAACTTTGCCCTTATCTCACCTCTATTTGTGATTGACCTAGATACTGGTTGTTTTTTATTTGTTTCTTTTAGAAAAATATCGAATATCTAAAAATCTTAGTTTTAGTAAACCACAAAAAAAAACAAAACAACTCCATAGTAAAATAATTTATAAATTTCATTTTTCTAACTTTTGCTCTTCAAGATTGTTTTATAACGATTTTATTAAAAAAAAAAAAAAAAACGAAAAAACATCAGCAATTTATGCAGGCAAACTATATTAAATAAAATCATTTTTTTTTTCTTTTCTGTTCTTCAAATACTGATAAGAGAAAGAATAAAGAACAAAAAAAAGTTTTTTTTTGTTTTGTTTTTTATTATTTGTTTGATCATAAAATATTATAAAATAGAATCAATTAATTATAATAAAAAAAAAACCCACACTTTTCAATAATCTATCTTTCAATTAAAAGATTAATATAACACTTTTTAATTAGAATTTATTATATATATGTTGAACATCATAGTAAAAAAAAACAAAAAGTCACCTTCTGTCTATAGATATATTAACATACTATTGAATTGTGACAGGCGGCAGACATAATGATAAAGTTCATATGGAAAAAAAAATGTACCAAAATTTTTTCATATAGTTTTATCTTTTGTACAAAACCACCGTAAATATATGTGACGTATTTTGGGCCAAAGTACATGTCCTCAGAGTGCGGTTGACGTGCTACAATATGACTCATTAAAAGGCGGGTACAGATTCAGTTCACGTATTGTCCAACATAACAGATCATCGATAATAAATGGCTAATTTTTCATTTTATTACTTAATTATAATTTTTTTGTTTTTATATATGTTTATCCTTTATTTTCCAGAATGACAACAAAAAAAAAAGAATCTTTTTATGCAAACGTAATTATTTGTTTATTAAACGATCGATTCGCTGGTTTATCTCATTCGATTGAAGATAATTGTACTCATTGACAAAAAAAAAAAATACTCTTCATTAGGACATGTTTATACTACAAGTCGACAGGAAACAGATAGACATGAGAACATTAACCAAAAGGCTAAGCATCTAAAAAAGAAATTATAACGTTGTTTTGATATATATATATATATCTGAAAATGATTTTCTATATATATATCCAATCATTTTCAAACCTAGTAAAAACATAATCATATAATAAGAATTATATATTGAATCTATTCTCTTACATATATAATCTAAAGATAAAACATTTTCTGAGTAATACTTTCCTCAATGGATAAGACAATGTCATGCCATATACACACTGTGAATCATTGACATGGGGTAAAAAGAATTCTATGCATTTTATAAACAATCACAGATGGTTATCAAACCGTCATGATCTCAATATTTTGGATTATTACATGTCGAATACTATCATTAATAATATGTAATGGTATAAAAATAAAAAAACCTATGATTCGTTGTGTATCACAAAAAAAATAAAAATAAAACATGCAAAATTTTTTTGTCAATTGAAATTTGTTGAGTACTTTATATTGTATATTATGTTTTTCTTTTGAATAAAACGTGTTAAGTGAGTAAAAAAGAAAGATACAAATATGAACTATTGATGATCAATCACCCGTTAATATTCATCATTCTTCTAAATCCTTATGTTTCAAGTGTAATAATTTACATTTCAATAGTTACTATTTATTCACTCATTTTCTTGTTACATGAAAGAAGAAAAAAAAAAACATTTGCTTCACTACTCTTCTATCGTTCGAGAATAAATAATATAAAAAAAACTAGAACAACTTACATTTGATCGAAATATGTAAATTGTCCATCAAGATTTAATTTGCATAAAAACATTCTAGCAATAGTATTGGTATTTTCATAAGTTTGATTCGATTTTTCAATGCGTTTACATAAATTACCCATTGTTATAAGACATGAAACCGGATTATTTCCAATGGCATTTACAACATCGGATGGTGTTAATATACTAATATTTGAATGTCGACGATCAGTTCGTGTTTTTATTTCAGTTTGATTATCATTAGTTAAAGAATATTGTTTTATATAACCAACAAAATCTATTGTACTATAATTATCTATAAAAAAAAAAAAAGTATTAAAATCGAAACAAAAAAAAAGAAAATAGAAGAATGAAACATACTAACCTATTTGATGAGTCGTTGTTGTTGTTTTATTTGATCGTTTTGGTTTCGATTTAATACGACAAGAAAATGTACGTCGATTACCTACTTCTAAACAATTTTGTTTTGTTGCTACTAAAGGAGCATCTGAAATAAAAAATATTACCTTTGAATAATAAGAAAGAAAAAAACAATTTTTTATATACTTTTCGAATCAGTTGATGAATTTTCATAGGTATTTAATGATGTCTTTTTTTCACACATTAATTGTTGTTTAACTATTTCAATATCATCTGGACAGATAACATCAAATATTGATTTTAAACATAATTCATTCTTTAATAACAAAAATTAAATGAAAAACAAAAATTTTTATTTTTCCTACGAACTGATTTATATCCAAGTATTGTTTCAGTTGAACATGATGCATAACAAATTCGACCTTGTTGACATTCAATTATAAGAAAAAAATATGTACCTAATTGATCAATTGTTGCTAAGATTAATTCAAGTAATTCATTATCATTTAAATATATTTGTTTATCAAAACCACCTGATGAAACTTTTGAAGTGGTACCTAAGTAAAAAATCAATCTTTAATTTTAATTTTAAGAAATATATTTCTTTTCTTTTACCTTTTAAATGTTTTATTGTATCAACAGCAACACGTAAAACAGTTAATTTATCAAGTTTTTTAACTGCATCCATTGGAAGTAATTGTGCTATTTCATCTATATAACGATTCATTTTTTCTCGACGACGACGTTCAATTTCACTATGAGTTATTCTAAGAATATAAGAAAGAAAAGAGAAATTATATTATAGATATAAGAATCGAAAAAACAAAAGTAGTTTTACTTTCGTGATTTGTCATGTTTTGTAGTTGATGATTTTGATGATTCTTCATCATCCGATTCTTCTTCTTCTAGGTTCATTTCATTTTTTGATTGAACGTCAAGACTAGAAATTAAAAAAAAAACACAAGAAAATTTATCATATGATCGATAAAAGAAATATACAATATCGTATTATAAAAGTAAAATCTTACGTATTTAAAAGTTGTTCAGGAGCCATGGTTGATGTTTTCAGTTATACAGATGTATATATATATATCAGAGTTTAACACTAAGGAAAAAAACTGATTTAACTCATCTGAAAAATCAAAATTAAATCATTCTAAATCACAAATCGTTTTTTTTCCTCCTTGGTTTAACAGATTCTATGACACCTCTTTATAAAGAGGTGTGTCT